GAATGAGGAGTACAGCTAGTTTGGATTAGGAAGCCTAATCCGAACTAGCTACTCCGTGCCACGTGTAGCCGTGCGGCACGGGGTTCGAACTGCCGGCATTTAAAAATGGCGCCGGCCGGCTTTATGCAAATGAAGCCCGGGAAATTCAAATCCCGGGCTTCATTTGCAAGTGCGGTATGCCTACGTTACCCTGCTAGTTCGAACTAGGGATGCAGTGTAGACATACCCCTAGTGACACATGATGTGGGGAAAGGTGAAGTACTCAAGGCTTTCTTGCCTCTGTCTTCACGGACAAGGTCACCTCCCAGACTAATGCGCTAGCAACACAATATGCAGAAAAGGCCCTGGGGATTCCAGTGGATGAGAAGCTGGAGATGAGTCAACAGGTTGCCCTTGTAGCCAAGAAGGCTAGTGGCATATCAGGTTGCATTAGGAGGAGCATTGCCAGCAGATCCAGAGGAGTGATTATTCCCCTTTATTCAGCTCTGGTCCAGTTCTGGGCCCCCCAGTATAGGAAGGATGTGGACGCACTGGAGGAGGGTCCAGCGGAGGACAAACAAAATGATTCGGGGGCTGGAGCACTTGACGGATGAGGAGAGGCTGAGGGATTTGGGTCTGTTTAGTCTGCAGAAGAGAAGAGGGAGGGGGATTTGGTAGCAGCCTGCAACTCCCTGAAGGGAGGTCCCAAGAAGGATGGACAGAGGCTGTTCACAGTAGTGAGGGATGCAGAACAAGGAGCAATGGTCGCACGTTACATCAGGGCAGGTCTAGGTTGGAGATTAGGAAAAACTATTTCCCTAGGCGGGTGGGGAAGCGCTGGGGTGGGTTCCCCAGGGAGGGGGTGGAATCTCCATCCCTAGAAGTTTTTAAGTCCCAGCTTGATGAAGCCCTGGCCGGGATGATATAGTTGGGGTTGGCCTTGCTTTGAGCAGGCGGTTGGACTCGATGACTCCTGACATGTCTCCAGCCCCCATATGCACAGCTCCAGCCAGTGGATGGCAGGGGTTGAGACAGGCCTCCCAGGGGCTGGTCAGGAACCAGCCCCCTGCTCTGGGGGTCCCCAAACCTCCCTCTGCTAGAATCAGAGACTGGGTATCGGTTGAAAATGGCCCTTTGCTGTTCATTCCCTCTGTAGCCCCTGGCCCTGCCCAGAGGTACAAGAGCCGGGGGAGGGCGGGAGAAGGGGGACAGCCCCCATGCCTCCCCACTTTGCAATATGTTTTGGGGGTCATAATGCTCCCCCAATCTGCAAGCCTCGGGCAGGCCTGAAGCACTGGGGGCAGGGGCAGCCTGCAGCTCCTGCCTCTTCTGGGTAGGGGGACACTGACATGGGCATTAGGCCCCCCCATCTGCCTCCCCCACCATGGCTGCACCCTCTGCTCTTTTTCCCCCAGATCAGCCACCAGCCAGAGCTGGGCTGTGGTAAGAGCCACCCAGGGGGGCTGGGTTCCAGTGGGGCTTATACCCTGGCCTGGCTCCACCTTTCAGCCTGGCCAGGGGGCGGGGCCTAGAAGAAGAGGAGGAGCAATGGGCGGGGCAAAAGGGGCGGAGTCTGTGGCTTCCCTCCTGTATCAAGAAACTGGCACTCCTGCCTCTGCAGTTGTTGGAAGACGGGACCCAGGGCTCACGGCGCCGGCCCGGCCGTTCTGACGAACGCTGCCATGAAACTTTCCACCTCTACTGCCTAGGTCCAACTCTAGGTCTGCTGGGACGGGGCCCTGGGCCCCCTGTTGGGGAACCTCCTCGAGTTCCGGGCCGCCAGCCCCTCGCTTGCTCTGCTACGAGTGGTGACCAGCGTCCTGTGGGGTCCATCTGGCCACTCCTCTAGGTCACTCCCCATTAGCACATCGGTGGGCAAGTGCGGGTGCACCCCCACTTCCTTGGGGCCCTCCTTGGCCTCCCATTTCAGATGCACCCTGGCTAC